AAAGATCACTGCACAAACATTTCCTCAATAAGCACTCTTGTCTGGATTTGTGTTTTGGCAGACTTTGTCAGGCAGAGCTTGAGTCCAGTTCAAAGTCTGCTCTCAGCCAAGTACAGGAAGTGTCAAGTGATTTTGAGCCAGGCTGAAATGTGTTATTATGTTCCTTCTTGAACTGCAAGCCATCAGCCCATCCTGAATCCACTGAGACTGCAAATGATCTGAAAACAGAAAACACCACGGCTGAAATTATGTGAGATACTGAGACTACAGGAATAAAAAGAGGGATCACATCCATTAAGGGTCAGAAAAGTTAATGTGTACAGCTTTGAGATTATTTTCTACTCAGAAATTAACTGTGAGGCAAAATGTGATGCAAAAGAGAGCATCTGTGTTTAGGACACTATCCCATTTCTACACTGAAAAAAAACCATGATTATTATCTGTTATTCAAATATTGGCTGTTTATGGCATTTGAATCATCACATGAGCCAAGGGGTGGAAAAACGGCCTTTGCTCATGTGAAACTTTGCCCTCGCCCATCATGAGACCTATTGAGGTCACCTGAGGCGAGGTGTGAGTGGGGTAGAATCACGTGGGAAGGGATCTGTGGACTGCACCTCTGTTCAGTGATGGTCGTTCACAGTAAACACAAACGCAGTGGCCTCCTCTTCTCAGTTAAAAATGTGAACTGGCATCTTCTGACCCCAATAGGTGTTAAAAACCTGGCACTCTCCAAGTGTCTTCATTAACTCAAAGATGTCCAGTTGCCTTCTTTTTTCAAGATGCTAAGACTTTCTGACTCTTTTTTTGCAGTGATCAGCACATTAAGTATTTTTAAATATGTATCCACTTTTTTGTCATCTGTTGGCAGAGTATATACTTCTGCCTACTCCTTTTCTAACAAATAATGGAATGATATTTTGTAATGATTGTGAAGGCACATGTTTGAAATAAAAAAAAAAATGAAATAAACTTACTTTGTGAAGTGCTTTGTGCTGCACACTGTTTTTACCTCAGATACCTAACAAGCAAAAGATTTCTTAAATAAAAGGTGCGGATTTGTAGGACTCATATTAAGAAATTTTTAACTACCTGCTAAGACCTCCCGAGATGACCCTGCAAGCATAACATCCATCGTTATTCTAGTTAGGCCTATCTTTGCAAGTCTTTAGCAATTTACAGCTGCCCTTGGTGGGAGAATAAAATTTTGCATGAGACTTTAAATATAAGTTATTTCTTACTGTTTGAGGATGAAGTTGAATCTACCTCTGTGAGCAGAATTAACAGAGCCAGCATGCGACCTTGGAAAACGTTAATAGATGCCGACTGGACAAATGTCTATCTTTTGCCAGTTCCTCAAAGAAGGGTTGTCTGTGTTTGTCTAAAGTGTGGTTGTTTGAAGTATCGTTTAGAGTTTTTCGTGTAGTTCTCTCTCCAGAGTTGAAAATGTGAACTTTAAAATACTTGAGTCTGAACTTTGTATTACAAAGAACTCATGTGTGCCTGCGTGTTTACACAAGTCACCTTGAGTAGTAGTTCACTGAAGAGGTTTTCAAACAGCGAGGCTCACTTTTAGATATTGTGTGTGCCTTACGGACCCCCTTATCAACACGGTCAGTACTTGGAGCTGCAGTATAAAAATACATACTCAAACCTAATATCAAATCAGAGCCTACAGGCATGATATACACTTATTTAAGCCTAATTCTAGTCAGGCCCTTACTCCCTCTCACTCCGTTAGTGTGTGGAGTCACACTTGAAGCTCATGAGGGGTCTCTTAAGTAAGGGGGTTGTAGAAATACAGCAGCAAGATTGGAGATGACCTTGTAATCAGCATACTAAGATCATGTCTACCACTTATTAGAAGATGTGCCTCGATTCAGTTTCATTTGGATGTTTTTATCATTTTCTTTAATTAGCCTATTTTTCTATATTCATATATTGGTATTTCTAGTCAATATTGGAATTTATTATCTAAAATATACAAAAATTGTGCATTTCTTTTTGTTTATTGCTGACATTCTTGAAATAGTCACATGCTTTACCTTCCCACAGTAGTTAGTAAGCTTAGACTCTGTGTTGGAGGGCTTCATAATCCACTTCCACTTTAGGCTATTTGGTCTGAAAAGCACTTAATGTGATGAATCCTTGATGCAAACATGTAAATGGAGTGAAAGTGTGTCGAGGGGACTGAACTGAATTTGGAGTTAGTGTGACTTTCCCTTCCAGAGGGCATTTTATATTTGTATTTCATCATAACTGAAAACCCTTAAACTTATCAAATATGACACAATATACACTTCTTGTAACCCTGAAACCTGACTCTAAGCCATGATGTTTTTATGCATTTTATTTAATGTCAGATAATTCGAATAAAACCTAATTGTTATCAGCTAATTCCCCATAGCTTTAATGTCAAATTACAAAAACGCAAACATGAATAAAGGTTTAAATATCAAGTAATATATTAAAACCAGGAAATCTTGACTTCCTATTTACATCCCCCAAAGCTCTAAAATTTAGTGCACGATTTTGCATTAAATGCAATAAATGGAGTGTCAAAATTCATCAATACTAACATGACTAAGACTCAGAACATCCCACAAACATGGAGGTGGCGCTGGGCACCAACTCAAATGTCAACCTGTGTTTGAAGATGTGTTGCTGCAGTGGAAAAGTTAAAAACAAACCAGAGTAAACATGTTCAAATGAAATTTCTTACCTGTCAACATATTTTGCAGCGAAATATCGTCAGGACAGACATGCAGCAGCACATCTCACTGCACGGTGCAGGGTCAGCTTCAATTTGCCGTGACGGGGGATGAAGACTCGGCAAACGACTGTCCAGCTGAGATGAAGCTTTGTGGGGAGCTGTGTGAAATTTCAGATGACATAGAGAGGCCAGGGCTGTGGACAGCCAAGAAATCCTCTTCAGGCATAAATCCTCCAGACTTGAAATCCAGACCGCTGCTTGGCTAAGCTATAAATTCTTCTTAGTGGACTCTCCATTTAGTTTGAAATTTTAAACATCAAAGCTCTTAATTTGTGCAAAACGGGGGGTTGCAGATTCTAGGGATTTTTTTCCATAACACTTCGGACAAGTAAAAAATGAAACATGACGTAAAAAAACAGAAGCTATTTTCAAGTATTTTAATTCTTTGTAACTTTATACTTCTAATGTATTTTAGAGATAAATATTAAAGTTCCATGTTTCTTAAAACAATTGTAAACTTTAAAGCTTATTTAAAAGAAATCAAAGAGGTTTATGGAGTAAATGACCAGAGAAAAAAAATACTGATAATAACTGATAATAAATAAATAATACTTATATTTTTATACAAAGCTAATAAGGATCAGCAGGTAAGGTGAGTGCATGCAGAAATTAAACCCACATCGGGGTGAACCATAAAATGTATATACTGTGTACATAAATACTGGACTGGCCTCGAAGTCTGAAAAGTGAAGATAATGTGTAAAGTGTCTTAAATCTGCATTCTTTCTCATGGCCAGCAGCTCAAGGCTCCAAAATGGGACTTCACAAACCAAAATGTGATGTCATTGTATAATGAAAACCAGAACTAAACAGCCAGATTTTAGAGAACCGCTTAAAGATACAAGAAGGTATTCAGTGGGAGTCAGCAGAGAGTTAAAAGGAAGGAGAACAGATAAGTGGGAAGACTAGAAACTGAAAGAGGTAAAGACAAGATTTTAAATACACAGGAGGAACTGATAAGGTAACAAGGAACCAGTAAAGGCAGGGCCAACCATCTCTAAGGAGGAAAAAGACAAGGACATGGAGTAAAAGCACCAGACAGAGATGCAGGGGAAATGATAAATGGACACAGACACAAAATTGTTTTTAAAAAATTCACTTAATCGTTTAAATAAACCTATAAGCTAAAATTATTCAAAACAGCATAAAAATACTGACTGCTGACTGCTATTAAATATAGCACATTAGCTGCCTGATTACTATTTGTATACTACATATGGTCTCTAAAATTAAAACCCTGAGTAAACAGAGCTTCAAACGCCTCAGGTTTCTTATAGAAAAGGCTGAGCTGGGTAAATATCAGATAGTAAACCGAGTGCGTATTGCCGCTGATTTCTGTGGTGTTATGTCGAGAGAAGAGGGGGGTTAGAGCATCCTCTGAGAGGCCATGAGATGCTCCATGGCACGAGTTAAATCTGAGCAATCACAGTGCATGGAAAAGAACACTCAGGCAAAGATTGGAGAATTGAAAGCAATCCCTGTCGAAGCACGTGGAAGACACTCCAAGCGTCATATAGTGAGATATAATTACTATAAGAAAGATGCCCCAAAGGGAAATTTGAGAGATGCAGCCTGTATGTTTCCTGTGTTTAGTAATTTTTTCCCCCCCTATGGTCCCTGTGAATCCTTGCAGAGTGCTTGTCAGCATTCCTGGTACATCTCCAGCTTTTTGTATGCTGCTTGTTCCCTGGAAAGCATTTTCATACCATAAAATAAATGAGTTTGACTGTGCCCGGCCGCTTTATCTGCTTCATGATGAGAATCCCAGTGGAAGGCTCCTGGCACCGTGGTCCTTTTCTCATGAGCCTTTTTACAAATGTAAACACTTTACATTGTTTGTTTTGGGTTTTTTTACTATCATCTGTCAGGCTATAATTACTTTTACCACTAGAATGAGTGTAATGTCATAGAAAATTATCCCCGTATGAGTTCACACTACACACATGCACACATTTAAATTCCGTTTACACTACCATGCTTCTCTTATCTGTTGACCCAAAGGAAGACAAATGGAGGTTACTTTAATATTTATGAATCTTGTAGTTTTTGCTTACTGTCCTTAGTCTTTCATTAAAACCAGATTTAGCACCAGGCCTTTTGAAAAATCATGTCCTAACCGACTCTTTCTGTTTCTCTGTGTCCTCTGTCCCCTCTCACCCTTGTGATCACCATCTGTTTATCCATATTGTATGATCCTCTGTTTCTGGCCCCCGTGGCTCGTCACCAGACGCTACTTTTGGCCTCCTGCTCGGTGTGTTTGTGGTCTGTGGCCTGGCATTCCTGGGACTTCTTACATTTGTCTCCTGGAAGCTGTGCTGGGTACCTTGGCGGACTAAGGCCCCCTTTCTCAGTCCATCCCTCAGCCCGCCCCTTGGCCCACAGCACTGCCCGCTTCAGCCGCCACTCTTGTTACCCAGCCCCCAGCAGACGCCAGTCACCATGGCAACAGAGAAGGTGAAGGACCCCATGGGCTCGATTGGTTTCCTGGAGGCTGCGGTGAAGATAAGCCATACCTCTCCTGACATCCCCACTGATGTGCAACTCTCCATGAGGGAGCATTTCCTGCGCCGCACACAACGCATGCAAAGGCAAACAACTGAACCAGCTTCCTCCACTCGGTCAGTCACATACATGCATGTGCATGCAAATCTGATGACACATGAGACTGTCTCATGTGGTTATTTATAATATGTGTGCATATGTGGAGGATTATGTGTAAGCTGAATTCAAGACATGGTGTTATCTAACGTGGAATAAAGTGTGTAAACCAGGGGGAAGTCACTGCTACATATAAGGATTAACATTTTCTAAGTAATTTAATAAATTAGTAAATTATAAATAACATTGAAGAATACTAAACTCTGCCTCAGAGGCACCTCTCTCCAGCTTAAAATTACTGTCTATAAGACTTTCTTCAGAAGTATAAATATAACACAGTTTGAAGAGATTACTTGCAGCTTTACAAGCACAATTCCACGTTACCATTTAGTTAACATCAATGATTTATTATAGCTATTATGCATACTAATACATGGCCATGGTATAGTATTGTATGGCCTATTCATGCAAAAAGACAATTATTCACATTGAGAAAGGCTTTTTTTTTTTTTTTTTTTTTTTTTTTTTAAAGGGTCGTTTTACCTCGTTGCTAGGTGGTTGCTAGGCATGCATAATTTTGCTTTCGTGGATATGGATATAAATTAAATTTTATTGTCATGAAATTAAAGTTATAAGATGCTTTCATCGGATGTTATAGGTACATAAATGCTAAAACCAAGTAACTTTTGCCAGTTGATGGGAGATTACTAGGGAACGTACTGACATCAATATATCTGATGTAGATAAGAACCCTCGGGTTACTATAGGCAAAGTAGGTAAAACCCGGGATAAACTTTTCTCATCTTCTAGGTAAACAATTGAAACGATCACCAGTGACAACATAGGATACCAGTGATTGACATGTGGCCTGTTACTAAATACATTAGAGGGTTACCTAGGCAACTGAAACGAGCAGCTGTCAAACTGATGCTTGACAAGTGAATTTCTTCCAGTGTTCATGTAGCTTTCAGGTCAACTTAATGCCAACTCCTGATGGTTTAGGAGGGGTTGGCAGACAAAGAAACCAATAAAAAGACAGACAGGATAATTTTTAAAGGATAAGAATTTATGTTCACACCACTGGGGCTCACTGAGCTGTCACAGTACATTTAACTTTAACTTTTTACACTTCCTGTTCAAATTTTCCCATCAGGTGTCAGGGATAGGGATAGCTCCATACAACAGAAATACAGGCCTACTTACTGTAGAAATACAGGTCACATCCTTTTTTTTAAGGCAAGAATGAACTTTGATCGACTGCCACTATAGCAGAAGACATAACGTGATACATTTGGTTGTATTGTGCCAACACTAGTTTAGTTCAGAGTCAGATGCCGAACACTCATAGACATCACATTAAAAAGCACGGAGTCTTGTCATTTTTTAAACCTGCATGTTAGTCGGATAGTGTTCACTTTGGGTAGCTCAGAATCTGAAATAAATGCCGTGACACGATGAGACTGTAACCTTTGAAATTAAGAAAACCAAGGAAATGTCAGAGAAACCATATTCACGTGAAAGACCTTTTCATATGTGCTTGTCCTAGAGAAGGCAAAATTTTAAACTAAAATATTTTTAGTATAAAATATTTAATATTTAATTAACCGTGCCACCGTGCTGCCCTAATATTAATAGGGCAGCACGGTGGCACGGTGGTTAGCACTGTTGCCGCACAGCAAGAAGGTCCTGAGTTCAATTCCACCATCAGGCCGGGGTCTTTCTGTGTGGAGTTTGCATGTTCTCCCCGTGTTTGCGTGGGTTCTCTCCGGGTACTCCGGCTTCCTCCCACGGTCCAAAGACATGCAGCTTGTGTGGATAGGTTAATTGGATAATCCAAATTGCCACTAGGTGTGAATGTGCGAGTGAATGTGAGTGTGAATGGTTGTCTGTCCCTGTGTGTTAGCCCTGCGACAGACTAGCGACCTGTCCAGGGTGTACCCTGCCTCTCGCCCTATGACAGCTGGGATAGGCTCCAGCGCCCCCCGCGACCCTGAAAAGGATAAGCGAATGGATGGATGGATGGATATTTAATATTCTAAACCTGATTTCATAGTTTTAATATCTAAACCTAACTAAACAAAAAAAGAGAGATAGTAATGTCAAAAACAAAAGTAATATCAAATTGTTAAAAAAGCAGTCCTGCAAATGACTAATTACTGTTATTTTTGTCTTCTGGTTGGAGGTGTTGTCACTTTACTATCTGCAGTCCCATCTTCCTTCAGTGTATTTTTGCAGGCTGCCATTTTTCATTACATTGTGAGATGTTAAACTGGTTATTTTTGTATTAACTTACAGGAAGACTTTCCTCACCAAATGTCAGTCTGTGACTAGTTGAAAATGAGAATATGTTATCATTTCACCACAGCTCAAACTACAGCTATTCCTTCCCACTTGTATTATTTTTCTCTTTTCTGTCCTTGTAGGCACAACTCATTCAAAAGACACCTGCCTAGGCAGATGCAGGTAGGCAGTCTAGACCTAGGAAATGACTACATGGTGGACAAGGATGAAAAGCCCACTAGCATCGGACGTATCCAGCCAGAGCTCTACCAACAGAAGGTCCCAGAATCAGAGGACTCATCCAACGACAGCAGCAAAAACTGTGGCAAGATTAACTTCTCCCTCAAGTATGACTATGAAAATGAGTCTCTCCTTGTCAACATCCTCAAGGCAGTAGACCTGCCAGCCAAGGACTTATGTGGCACATCTGACCCTTATGTGAAGGTCTACCTGCTGCCCGACCGCAAGAAGTTCCAGACTCGCGTCCACCGGAAGACACTCAACCCCACATTCAGTGAGAGCTTCCAGTTTCCTGTGCCTTATGATGAGCTGGCCGCTAGAAAGCTCCATATGAGTGTTTTTGACTTTGATCGATTTTCACGGCATGATATGATTGGTGAGGTGGTGATGGAAAACTTGTTTGAGACGTCAGACCTCTCCAGGGAGACAAACATATGGATGGACATCCAGTATGCCACCAGTGTAAGAATCTATTGACTTTTTAAACTTTTCTATTAGAGTCTAAGTCAAATGAGTAATAAGTAAATGAAAGTGATGTGATATTAAAGAGTCTGACAGAGAGATACACATCCTTTAGTTTATTTAAACATTCACTGCCCACTTCATTTGATAAACTTGCTCAGTTGCTTATCAATGCAAATATCTAATCAGTCAATAACAAGTCAGCAAATTAATACATTTATGAATACAGACAAAGGAAGATGACCAAGTTAAAAATGAGCATTAAAACTTGGAAGAAAGATGAGTTTTTAATGTGGTTGTTGGTGCCAGACAGGCTGACTGTTTCACAAAGGATTCAGGCAACTGGTGGTGCAGTGGTATGGGCAATATTTTGGGCTGCTTAGCACCAACTGAGGATTATTTAAATGCTACAGCCTACCTGAGTATCCATTTGGACATGGACATGAAAACCATGATGACAATGTAGGACATACAGGGAGTGCAGAGTTATTAGGCAAGTTGTATTTTTGAGGAATGATGTTATTATTGAACAACAACCATGTTCTCAATGAACCCAAAAAACTCATTAATATCAAAGCTGAATGTTTTTGGAAGTAGTTTTTAGTTTGTTTTTAGTTTTAGCTATTTTAGGGGGATATCTGTGTGTGCAGGTGATTATTACTGTGCATAATTATTAGGCAACTTAACAAAAAACAAATATATACCCATTTCAATTATTTATTTTTACCAGTGAAACCAATATAACATCTCCACATTCACAAATATACATTTCTGACATTCAAAAACAAAACAAAAACAAATCAGCGACCAATATAACCACCTTTCTTTGCAAGGACACTCAAAAGCCTGCCATCCATGGATTCTGTCAGTGTTTTGATCTGTTCACCATCAACATTGCGTGCAGCAGCAACCACAGCCTCCCAGACACTGTTCAGAGAGGTGTACTGTTTTCCCTCCTTGTAAATCTCACATTTGATGATGGACCACAGGTTCTCAATGGGGTTCAGATCAAGTAAACAAGGTGGCCATGTCATTAGTTTTTCTTCTTTTATACCCTTTCTTGCCAGCCTCGCTGTGGAGTACTTGGACGCGTGTGATGGAGCATTGTCCTGCATGAAAATCATGTTTTTCTTGAAGGATGCAGACTTCTTCCTGTACCACTGCTTGAAGAAGGTGTCTTCCAGAAACTGGCAGCAGGACTGGGAGTTGAGCTTGACTCCATCCTCAACCCGAAAAGGCCCCACAAGCTCATCTTTGATGATACCAGCCCAAACCAGTACTCCACCTCCACCTTGCTGGCGTCTGAGTCGGACTGGAGCTCTCTGCCCTTTACCAATCCAGCCACGGGCCCATCCATCTGGCCCATCAAGACTCACTCTCATTTCATCAGTCCATAAAACAGAAAAACCAGTCTTGAGATATTTCTTGGCCCAGTCTTGACGTTTCAGCTTGTGTGTCTTGTTCAGTGGTGGTCGTCTTTCAGCCTTTCTTACCTTGGCCATGTCTCTGAGTATTGCACACCTTGTGCTTTTGGGCACTCCAGTGATGTTGCAGCTCTGAAATATGGCCAAACTGGTGGCAAGTGGCATCTTGGCAGCTGCACGCTTGACTTTTCTCAGTTCATGGGCAGTTATTTTGCACCTTGGTTTTTCCACACGCTTCTTGCGACCCTGTTGACTATTTTGAATGAAACGCTTGTTGTTCAATGATCACGCTTCAGAAGCTTTGCAATTTTGAGACTGCTGCATCCCTCTGCAAGATATCTCACTATTTTTGACTTTTCTGAGTCTGTCAAGTCCTTCTTTTGACCCATTTTGCCAAAGGACAGGACGTTGCCTAATAATTATGCACACCCGATATAGGGTGTTGATGTCATCAGACCACACCCCTTCTCATTACAGAGATGCACATCACCTAATATGCTTAATTGGTAGTTGGCTTTCAAGCCTATACAGCTTGGAGTAAGACAACATGCATGAAGAGGATGATGTGGACAAAATACTCATTTGCCTAATAATTCTGCACTCCCTGTAGTAAATGAGGGCACAGTCTATCTAGTGCAGGGGTGTCCAATTCCAGGCCTCAAGGGCCGGTGTCCTGCAGGTTTTAGATGTGTCCTTGATCCAACACAGATGATTTAAATGGCTAAATTTCCTCCTCAACATGTTTTGAAGTTCTCCAGAGGCCTGGTAATGAACTAATCATTTGATTCAGGTGTGTTGACCCAGGGTGACATCTAAAACCTGCAGGACACCGGCTCTAGAGACCTGGAGTTGGACACTCCTGATCTAGTGGATTCTTCTTAGTAATATTTACATATATATCTCCCTTAGTTCAAATTACTGGCACTGTGGCATTTATAAAGTAAAATATAATACAACTGTGACTAAATCAAATCTTTTTTTAATTTTAAATCTTCATCACAGTTCAATCAAGATGCAAATGTAAGATTGAAAAATGATAGAATTTAAAATGAGGCGCACTACCGGCTTCTGGATGCTCATATTTCACCTCAGTGCTCCATCAAAACAAATGATCTGATTTCCTTGAGAAGCTCTCTGTATTTATGGTCATGCTCCACCATCGCTGGCAAATATGGCTCAGAATGCTTAAAACCTCACTACATTTTAGGCTAATACATAAATTAGCAGCAAGAAATCATTATTCCCCAGCAGATCCTTGAGCTTCAAAGTGAAGAATAAAAATTTATGTAAAGCCATAAAAGAATATTTTTGACTCACTGCACACTCATGCAGGCATTTTTCTATTGACTTTGTTACTTGTTGACAACATCCAGGGGCCATTTTTAGGAACAAATTGTTTGTGTTAGGTGCCTCGGACCCTTCATCATTTTATCACCTCGTCTGAGCCCTCACATCTCTCATAAGCCCCACCCCCACTCTTGTTGGACTTCTTCAGGGGTTGTTCAGTAATCTCAACATTATTGCTTAGAGGGCAGAAAAGCAAGGAGCCTTCTCCTTGGCACACAAACTTTATTGAACCACCAAATGATTTTACGACAAAATCCCTTGCTCGTATTAAATTCCAGATTGGCAACATAAAGAAGGCACAGATGGTGCAAGGATTTAGTTAAAACAGAAAACAAATACAGTATGATGTAGTGTTCGATGTGAGACTGTGTACAACACTCTGCAGCTTAATGAGCGGAAAAGACAGCAGTATTGAGCAGAGTGAGGCACAGCAACAAAAAATAACCAGCAGCTCTTCTCTCTTCACAGATCAATGAGCGATAGTCATCAATAACATCAACCCACAAGCGTGACTTTTATAAAGAATCCAGAGGAGACCAGATACTTAGTCACTTCAGACTATTTCTCATGTGTGTTCAGTGTAGCTATTCTGGGAAGGTCTTTAAAGGGCTGATAAGTAGCATTATTTATTAGCTCTGACTGGGACTGAAAGCCAAATTCGTTGTAATAAAACATCGTTATGGTAGAATATGACAAGAAAGTTGTTTAAATTATTTAGCCTCAATTCAGTTTTATTTTTATATTACCACAACACTGTGCTTTATATAGCAAAGTAATGACTGTACAATATTACAAGAGGGACTCCATTGGTCCGAGAATCCCCTGTGAGCTAGCAAATGGCAAAGGTAAGAAGGAAGTCCTCACTTTTAACAGGGAAAGCCCTGAAATAGGCTCAGAGAGAGGCAGCCACATGCCTCAACCCCTAAGAGCTGACCTTTTGGGGTTTGAGGCGAAAGAGAGAAAAGAGGAGAAATGAGAGAACAACAAGACAGCAAGTAAAAGCACAAGACTACACTCACTGGCAACTTAGGCATTTAGGCATGTAGACATATTGAAGTTCACCTGGTGGAACTTTAAATGAAACTTCAGAAGAAAAGAAAGATAATTTTATGGATTTGAATGTGGTGTGGTTGATTGCTGATCTACTGGGATTTTCTACACGGGGTCTACAGACAGTAGTTTGAGAAAGAGAAAATATCTATTGAGCAGCAGTTCTCTGATGCCAGAGGTCAGATGAGAATAGCTAGACTGTGTTGAGCTTATAGGAAGGCAAGACTAACTTAAATAACCACTTGTTAAAACCAAGGTAGGCTGAAGAACACACATCTATGCCATGGAGAATTAAGGCAGTTCTGAAGGCAAAAATCAGTGGGTCCAACTTGTAGTCCATTTTGTATTTCAGTAAAATATAGGGTCAGGTCCTGCTGTTCAGCAGAGCATCAAGAGTGATGATGCATAGTAATTATCGTCAAAGCTGCTTTTGCAGTGACCAGAATCAAGTCATTAGAGCCTCTTATTTTTTTGTTTGGGTTTCTGGCAAAGTGTGAATTACCAAAATTACAGAGGGGATTGCCTAACATATGAAACGAGAAAAGACTGCCATGTAACCCATTTATTTCAACAAAGTAACTGTATTCTAATTATCACCTATTTAAGGGGTAACTGTAACGGAATACAGTTTTTGCATTTTAAATACATAACACCGGGACATGTATTCGGTGTCAGACATGTTTGCATTGCTAAAAAAATTCATTTGGTTTAATCTAGAGGTGGAGCTGAAGGAGGCTGAGCATGATGAACATGGGCATGCACCCTGACTTGTTGTGAATTCTTCAGACAATTCGCATTGCATTTTCCCAGTTTGTGGTTAATAGTTCTCACCGTGGTTTGCTGGTGTCCCACAGCCTTAGAAGTAGCCTTATAAGCCTTTCCTGACTGATAGATGTCAGATACTTTGTTTCTCTGCTGCTTCTTTGGATGATGTGTAGCTTTTTGAGATCTTTAAGACTACATCACTTTGTCAGACAGATTCTATTCAAGTCATTACTTGATTCAATAGATCTGCTAGCAATCAGGCTTGGGTGCAGCTAGTGAAACTCGACTTAGCTTTTTTTTTATGTGGTTAATCACTAAAAACTGGATTTTCTATTTACTCGGGTTATCTTTGTCTAATATTAAAACATATTTGATAATCTGAAGCATTTAAGTGTCACAAATGTGCAAATAAATAAGAAAACACTCAATACCTTTTAACAGTTCTGTACCTAGAAGCTCAATCTGATATTTTTGTACCAGGGAGCTGGCGTGTTGAGTCTGACTGAAGTGGATATTTGGTTTCTGATATGCTCATCTGGGTGATCTATAAAAGTTGAGTTCTCCATTACACGTGTCAAAACAACTTTAACCGAGTGCTCTAGTTTAACATCTTATCATTTGCCAATTAGCACCAAGTCTCAGAGTGCAGTCTCATAGACCAAAGCACTGACCGAAAATGAAAAGTTCAGTAATCACCGGGATCATTCTAGGCCTTCAAATCAGTGGTGATTTCCCTTCTTTTCATCCGGCCATCATGAGGCTTTTCGCTTTGAGCAAAACATCTAAACAGTTTTTTGATTGATCGCATGAAAAAAACTTTAAGGCTATCCATCCAATTGTTCTTTAGAGAATTTAATGTGCACTAAAGAGACACTTGGACTTAAAGTGCCAAAACACGCCTGAGAAATTATTAATGCAGTGCAGATGTTACTGACTGGCACCAAAACAGCCTGCATTTCTACAAGAACAATCAAAGTGTCACTTTATGCTTTTACAACGTCTGACACTTCTGCTGTGCTCTCACATTATGGCTCAACCTTCACACCCTTCAAACAAAATCCCTCACATTGGCAGCGCAGAAAGCCAAATCTCAGCTGTATGTCTGAGGAGACGTTAAGACTGCAGCGCTCAGACAGACGTGTTGGGATTTGCCAATCAGTGCTGTTCTCACTGAGCTCATTCAGGGTGATTAGGGGTCTGTTTAACCTTAATACTCTTTTGGCTAATAACTCACATTGGACAGATAACAGGACACTCATTCTTCTTGAGACTATTAGCTCAGCAGGGACTCAACGCAGGACTGTCAGCTGTGCTTAGAAAGTTTTCGACTATGAGAGCTCTTATTGGTGCAAACCTGTTTTTAAGACTGATTCACACTTTGATTGCGTGTGTAATTGGGTTACATTTCATTGGAACCCTAATATGTGAATTGGATGTACTCTGTTTTAATTTATTGCCATTGGCAATGATCTGGAAACATCTAAATTCTGACAGCGGTGAAAGATTCAATTCTCTTTGGCAAAGTAAATACTCGTCTTCTGTTGCCGTTGATACCAGACAACAACAACTCTGATGATGGATGTCTATGGAGGGGAATGATGGTGATCAGGTCACAAATATGATCCAAAACGTAAACTATACATTCATTAAAAACATACAGATGCATGAGACGTTGCTACTTCCTACATCAGTGCAAGAGTAAGATCGTCTGTGGCTGCTCCTCCAAATATGGTCGCATGTGTCTGTAACTTCATTTAGCTGTTTATCTTGTTGTCACATTTTGGGACTCTTTGCAACATATTTAGCCTGTTACCACATGTATTAAATAGGTGGCTTCTAACAATACTTTTGCGATGGGGCGTGGTCTGAGGCGTGGCTGCGAGGGTGGCGGACACTCCTGGACGGCATCCGCAATCACGCCTCGCCGGCTTTAAAGTCTATATTGGGTCTTGAGTTTGTGTTGTTGTTCATGTGTGTGTTTGGTTGCGAGCTGAAAAGCTGCAGCCGTGTTTGTAACAGCAACCATAAATAAAAGAAGTATGCTGAAAAGCATGGAAACTTTGTCGGGTCTGTCGTGCCCAATCCTGGGTTTTGGCACCACTGTAATAAATCCACGACAGACCCGACCAAGTTTCTATGTCCAGGTGCGTCCGCCTCCCTTGCAGCCACGCTGCAGACCACGCCCCACCATAACTTTATTTAAAGATATAACACATTTTTGGGCCAGCTTGAAAGAAAGGCACATGCAAAATGTAAAAGTGAGATCAGAGGTCAAATGTGACCATACACCAGTATCTTTTTCTAAATAGGCAGTAACATTTTAAGCATTGTTTCAAAGATGAAGGAGATTTTTTTAGGAAATCGTATTTGACATTTAGGAAGAGGTCAAAGGTCCAAGGTAATGTTATATATCATCCTCTATGCCTATATGTCGTCAATACAAACAACGGCATATATGCCTATATGCCTATATATGCATATATAGGCATATATGCCTTAATTAAAGCATAATTATGCTTTAATTATAAATTATGCTTTATAATTAGCTGAAACTGATGAAATGTTGTGGTGCACTTAGAGAAGACTGACGAAGAGAACAAGAAAGGAGTTCAAACACAAGTCTTGATTTTAAATATTTCTTTTTGATATATTTAAGGTCCATTGAAGCAAACAAAAAAAAAACATTTGCAAAAAGTGCAAACATTTCAGTCTGTGTTGTGCTTTCCTCAGTGTAAAATGAGCCATGCACCATTAGTCACCCCATATGTGGCTCACTCTACGGGTGACATTGTTAATAACTTGGGCTTTGATTGGACACAGATGAATCCAACTACCAGCTGGTAAGGTCATACCAAACACATTAGAGTAATATAATTCTGAAACATTAGCACTTTCTGGTGCACATAATAAAACACTGGAAATGAGATCTACATGTACAGATAAACAGAAAGCGGGTCAAATCTAATCTGTTTAACTAATTTTATAGAAAAATGCACTTGACTCTCAAATTAATTTGTCTCCTTGTGAACCTGTGGCATTGCCTCAATGTTGGGTGGAGTCCCACTCTTTACTCCAAAAATACATGCACATGTCAGATACAGTAAATATGTACTGGATTTTTCTATAATTGTACAGATGTAAACATTTCAAAATGATGAACGTCGTGCAAGTCGTGCAAAATACAGAAGACATGTTTTCTGCTTTCTGGGTTTTCATTCACTGAATAATTCACAACTGTTTTTCTCATAATCGTTTGCAAATGCAAAGTCAGAAACTGATCAAAGGCTTTTTGAAGTTCCACTAACATCTCCTTTAGAGATGTCTGGCCTTAAACTTAATGCAGGGTGGACCCTTTTGGCCTTGAATAACTGCTTGAGTAGTGTAAAATGTATGCAGAGGAATATAGAACCATGGCAAGCGATTAAATATTGACACGGATTGCAATTAGACTTCAAGGTGGCTGTAGAGTCTAAGTAAGCTCTTTTATAATGTAACAATCAATTAAGAAATGTATAGTATTATGTATCTGTCTAGAAATTATTAGCTTCTTCCATCATGCAAATTAATCTTTAAGGTTCCTTGCTAGTGCTTACAGTTCCCTTTTGGGCAGTGCCGTCTTTGTTTCAAATCCAACTGCAGTTTCATATCCTCACATCTCTCTGCTACCTCAGTCTAACAAAGAAATCTCATCTTAAAGACAGAGGAACTCTAAAGAAAATGCAGGCAACCCTCCAAACTGCAGTGTACTTTATGATAAAAGTATATGCTGCATTAAACCTGAAATGGATGGTGCAGAGATCCAAGAACAGGAGCACAATGCAGCTGCTTTTTGGTACCAATAAGGGGAAATATTGCATTATTTTGCATCAAATTGACTCTTTAATGCATCTTTGTGTGTAATCTGTGCTCTAAATAGATAGCTAGTCTCAGCTGTGAGACTAATCGGGGCATCAGATATCTTCAGAATCTTCAGAACAGATAACCCAGTAGTGCATTATGCAGTCCTAGCTTCACTCAGTCTAAGTGCTGTAGTGGTTACAAAGAGCCGACTTTAAACAAAATATAAGCATTGATCCCAGAAACAAACCTTCAGTAAGAGACATAATGTACATCACTTCTCCCTGAATCGAAGCACCGGGCTGAATGTCAACGTGAAACTAAAAGAGATTCTTTTTTTTTCATCTGTGCTCGTGTTTGTTTTCCCGCAGGAAAGTGTCGACCTTGGAGAGATCATGTTTTCACTATGCTACCTGCCCACTGCAGGCAGACTCACACTTACTGTCATCAAGTGCAGGAACCTAAAGGCCATGGACATCACTGGATACTCAGGTGTGTTGTGTTGTGCCTGCACTTTCAGCTGCACTGACTCAAAATGAATGGTGCTCCTTTGAGAATCCAATTGTGAGCATGTCAAATTAAATAAACAAAGGAAAGCTCTCTCCCTAATGCTGCGTTCTGTTTATATCAGCAAATATTAATAAGCAGCACTTGCAATATTAAGACAATGTCAGCAAATAGTTTCAGGCGGTGTGTTTATTTTAATGTCCCGCTGTTCCACTTTTTCTATTAAACATTTTCCCTACGATACTGATACCACTTATGAAACGTGACATTTATTACACGTTAAATGCCAGGCTTTAGGTGTAATTTGGAGTGAAAGAGGTAATTTTCTTCCAGTTTTAAATGACATTTAAATTTTTTTTATGTTATTCACAATTTTAATCCTTGGAGTTTTCGTGGATTTAGCTGACTGCCATTATCTCGATTTACTGAACCGTGCCTTTAAGTATATCGGGCTGTATGCTCTGGCTTTTTTAAGGTGGCTTACATCTGATTAGTGTAGTATAATAACTCATGCAAAGTGATTTATTACTAACAGATGAAAATTGAAATCAGCATTCAGGAGACTCTCTCAGTCATGCTTTTTAGCAGTTTTCTATGGCCTCTCCTTGTCTTTGGTTAGATAAGACATTCACTCATCTACGTTTATGCACATTACTGATTCCTGGTTCCCCCAGTGTTGCTTTCATGTTAACACTATTAACACTGTATTCATTGGACTTCTTTGAAGATGTTTTGGCAGTCAAAGTAACCACAGAAGCTTTGTTGTTTTTAAAATTTGCCAGAGGCTTTCGTGATAATTGCTGCTCTGGCTGCTCCTGAAAGAGACGTACAACTTGGAAGTTGTCCAAACGTAATGATATTCAACTATAAAGACACATTTTCTGCCCTTGTTTATCCTGTTTTCCTCTCACCTATCAGATCCCTACGTGAAAGTGTCGCTCATCTGTGATGGGAGACGTTTGAAAAAGAAGAAGACGAGCATTAAAAAGAACACCCTGAATCCCACCTACAACGAGGCCATCATCTTTGACATCCCACCGGACAGTATGGACCACGTCAGCCTGCACATCTCCGTCATGGACTATGATTTGTACGTATATACTTGAGTTGCTCATTCAGTAATAGTGAAAAAATGTTTCGGCTTTTTGTCTGATACATTTTTATCCATTTGCCTTTTCATTGAACATATGAAGCTCCCACAGCAGTCATGATCAGACTGACCAGATACCAAGAAAACTAAATGTGAGGAAAACAGTGTTTGTGTGGGAGATGTTTGCAATGCTGGGAGGCAGTCTAAAATTTCTTGAAAATAAAAAAAATGAAATAAATGCACATGTAACCAGATTTCTATTTAACAAATAAAGGCCAAATAACTGATTTCACAAAGTAAATTTTCTAAGTCTCTTGCTAGGTAAATGCAAGAAGGATAAAGGGTATAAAGTCCTGTATTGTCTTTTATTTCAGTGTTATTTTAGCAGCTGTTCTGTCAGCTGGGTTTCAGTGGGGATGCATCCATAGATCGTCAAACCATATCCAACAATTTAAGTAATTTCTTAGCCGGTTGTGACACACATACACTGTGTCACTTCATGCCCTATTTTCACTTGTGTGAAATTTAATATACGTAATAAAAACCCTTTCCTGACTTCTTCACACGCACTCAGTAAAAGTAATACTTTAGAAAAGTTCACATCCTGCAGAGTATCTATTTGCTGGCACATATAAACTACAGTTTATATGTTATTTAGTTTTGTTAAAAAAAAAAAAATACTAATTTATATATTACTTGTACACCTCAGAATTGGTTCAGTTTGCATATTTCTAGGCAGCCTCAGACCACAAAAGCACAACATTGTCATTAGTGCCACAACTGACTGAAGCGGACTAGTGATGGGATTTCCGGCTCTTTTTAGAGAACCGGCTCTTTCGGCTTGGCTCACTAAAAAGAGCCGGCTCTTTCAGCTCCGAACCGGCTCTTCAGGTTGTTTTGTTGCTTTAATTAATTTATTATTAACAATAATATAAAATTATACACAAAAGGAATTACTAATGTAATAAAAAAGTTGTTTTATTTATATATGTTTATATATACTTCTGAGTTTTTACGTACTTCTGAGTTTTTACGTGCTTTGGGGTTTGTACGTGTTTTGGAGTTTGTACGTCCTTTGTCTCTAGGGGCCACCGTAAATATACTTTTATTTATTCACTCCACATAAAATTTTTAAATAAATCATATAATACAAAAACTAACTATTCACAGTTCAACTTTTAACTATTTAAATTTTCAGCTTTTTCCTTTTAAATTTAAAGTTTAACAACACAAAACACTACAAACCACAACACAATTAAATATAAATTAAAATATGAAAACAAAAAGAACATGCACATTCTCTGTCATATGGACCTGCATGAATAAACTTTCGGAATCCTTTATCATCCGCAACTGAAAATAGTTGTGGATGATTACTATACCTTTCTAATGTGACGTTGATGTCCCTGGCTCTCTTTCTCTCTCTCTCCCTCGCGCTCTGTTCCTGTGCTACTGCGAGTGTAACTACTGCCCCTCCCCCCTCTTCCCAGCGCAAAGCACAAGGCTCGCGTGCGGAGTGAAGCGAAAAAAAGTGTGAGAGAGAGGGTGTGAGAAAGAAAAAAAAAAACAACCCACAGCTCGCGATAAGGAGCCGGCTCGCCTCGTTCACTTCGGCTCTAAGAGCCATTTCGTTCACTAAAGCTGACTACAGTCATGGTTGATGCTGGCATACATGTCTGTGTCATATGTTGCTGTGTGACAGGCAGACTGTGGATCCAAATGCAGGAGGCAGATAACAAACCTTGACTCAAAAAACAGCTTTATTGCTGTAACTCGTGCAAAATGCAAAATAAGAAAAATTTAGACTAGGCAGGAACCAAGAACATATGGAACTGGCATTATGGAAACAATACAGACCACACAGGGCACGTAACCTCAGGGAGAATGCGACAAAGAACGACGGGAGACTCAGACAACAAATACACACCAGGTAATGAGGGGAGAGGAAACAGGTGGGAGACACAGTGGGAACAAATCTGGGATAACGAGATAAGGCAAGTAGGACAAAATACAGAACAGGAGCAGGAAATAAATAATACAGAAACACAGGCACAAACCTACAGAAGACAGAAAGACAAACAAACACGGAGATGTGACTGACTGAGGAGACAAAACTAACTACAAAAACAGGTATGACTGACATAGTAATGTAGGTCTTTATGGATTCATAACACATCCAGACACCTCTTTTGCCAACATCATTCCCATAATGTCTGCTACTGAATATGCCTGACATGAGCTGGGTTAATGAGGTCATCCGAAGCTGCCACAACCAATGACCATTGCACAGCTGCAGGCTTCAATCATCTAGAAATGGAGAGCATTTCCTCACCAACAGATCTTAATACTCACATCTATGTACAGACAGGAGGAAGGAGGCCTCATATGAGATGTCTCCTATCTTCTTCTTTGTTCTGCTCTCCTTTTAAGAATCGCCACAGCAGACCATCTGTCTCCATCTCACCATATCACATGATCTTCTGTCACATGGACGTTCTGCATATCCTGCCTCACTACATTCATGAGTCTTCTGCCCGGCAGCTCCTCCTTCAACATCCTTTGTCCAGTATATCCACTATACAGGACAACTTTGCCCAGCCTCCAAATTAGTCTCCACCTGACGTGTTTCTCTTATAAACTGATTTATAATCCTACACCTACTGGTCCAGTAGAGCTGAAGATGCTTTTAGTGTTGTATACACGTTATAGTCCTGGTGTATAAAGTCTATTTAAAACACAAACTTTCTTTTTGACTGGAATAATCACATAATTATTTCATTTGAAGTAGGAGACATTTTTTATGGGGAAAACCCCCCAAATATATATATGTATATAGATCATATTTTATCTTTCTTATTAGCAGAGCAGTACCAGGATTAGAGGTGCGACCCCAAGTGCTTTCTTTACAGTCTGCTATTATGCAAGGAGAAAATCCAGTGCTGTTAATAATCTCGGGGATTATGTGTTTCCTCCATTTACACTTCACATTGTTAGGAGAGCAGAGATCAGCTCTGAAGCGAGTCAGTTCTTCTGCCACAGAGCGGATCAGCTGCAGATCCACCGCGTCAATTGGCGGGACAACCACACTCAGATTTGTGTCTCCTCTGATTACAAAATGGGCGTCTTACAGTTATAAACAATGTGATGTATGAGATGTCACCTCAAGTTAAATCAGACGTATTCATACCAGTATGCGTGTGTCCCTACAGGGTAGGTCATAATGAGATCATTGGTGTGATGAGGGTCGGATGCAGTGCTGAGGGACTTGGCAGGGACCACTGGAACGAAATGCTGGCCTATCCGCGGAAGCCCATTGCACACTGGCACCCCCTGCTGGAGCCCAAGAAATCTGAGAAGGAGGTAAGTTTGAGGATGGATTATTCTGTACGTGTTTATGATTTTGGATGAGGAATCAGGGTGCTTAGCTGGTAATTCTCAGCCTACTTAAGGAACATTGCTATAGGGAAGAGGATTCAAACTGTGAAGGGCTCTGAAGGAGAGACTTGAAGAAAGATGCTGCTTGAGGTTTGAGTCACAGGTCCACGGAGCGCTTTGCAAATTAACTTTAAAGTTAGTTGTTTGTCTAATTTGGCTCATTCATCAATACACTTTGGAGCAGCCACTGGAAAACTGCTTATTGAGGTAATTAAGTGTACTCTTTATGAGAATATTGATATCTCTAAAAACCAAAGCAAAATCCATAAACATCAAAAAACATGATTGTTGTAAAACCTGGACTTCCTGGACCTGGAACTCTTCTTGACCAATCGATTAGTGCAATGATAGCTGTCGGCACATGCATTAGCATCGCACAAACAACAAATAATAATAGATAAATTGGCTTAGCACAATCAGCAAGAAAGACGTTGACAAATAGAAGTTAAGAAGCGACTAAAAAGCAGCACAGTTTTACTTTTTATGTGTACCTTACAAGTAGGAAGTCAAAACTTAGAATTATGCTACATGTGTACCAAAGATTATAATGACATAGAAAATATTTGCTTGGTTTCTTTAAAATATTCTATATTATTGTTACTTTTTTAAAGTTTCCTGTTTTTTTCAAATGGGGCCTATTATCCTAAAACTGTAGCTCCATATATTCATTCTCAGACTGAAAGTAATCCCTATGTTTCTTATACCGGACTTTGGTGAAGCCTGTCAGTTGTTCCACTGTCTCTAATGAGCTTCTCTTTAAGCCAAGCTTCTTCCGATTGGCTGATCCTCAATAATAGAATTTTGAAATTGTACTTGGGTTGGTCTCCTATGATCAAACTGGCTCACATTAGTACATTACAGAAATCCCTTCCTCCTGACATCATACGGAGCCAAGTGTAGAAAAAAATGAAACTGAGCTTTTAGAACAGCTTACTTACATAAAGGCTTTATTCAAAAGTTAACCTTTGCCTTTCCCCTTTGTATATACACTTACCAGCCACTTCATTGGGTACACCTGCTCAACAGCTCATTAGCACAAATACCTAATCGCTCAATCACATCAGAACAACTTATTTAGACATATAGACATGGTCAAGAGGACCTGCTGAAGCTAAAAGTGAGCATCAAAATGGGGATAAAGGGTGATTTAAGTGACATTGAAAATGGTATGATGGTGCCAGACTGGTTGGTCTGAGCATTTCACAAACTGCTGATCTACTGGCATTTTTCCCTCACAACCATCTGTAGAGTTTATAGAGAATGCTCAGAAAAAGAGAAAACATCCAGTGAGCGGTAATTCTCTGGGCAGAAATGCCTTGTTTATGCCAGAGGTCAGAGCTGCCTGGCCAAACTGCTTTAAGCTGAGAGGAAGGCAACAGTAACTCAAATAACATTTCTACTAAAGCTTTCCCACCAGGCTTGTGCTGGTTCTTAATCTAGAGCAAACTCTGTATTTCATCCACTCCTGGCAGCTAAGAATAGGAAAGTGAGGCTGCAGTTTATGCAGGCTCACCAAAATTGGATAAGAAAATTCGGGAAAATGTTGCTTGCTCTCATGAGTCTCGATTTCTGTTGCAAAATTCAGATGGTAGGATCAGAATTTGATGTAAACAGCAACCTGCATTGTATCAACAGTTCAGGCTACTGCTGGTGGTGTAATAGAGTGGGGAGATGTTCTTGGCACATTTTGGGGCTCCAAGTAACAGATTATATTTTTTTAAACCTGACAGCTAACTTAAGTATTGCTGCTGACCATGTCTATGCCCCTATGACCACAGTTTACCCATCTTCTGATGGTTACTTATGTAGGATAACGCACCATGCTTAAATCATCTCAATTTGGTTTCTTGAGCGTAATGATGAGTCAAATGGCCTCCACAGTCATGGGAGATTCCCATGAAGAATGTGACACCAACAAAGTATATTAAGCAACTGTGTCGTGCTATCATTTTAACATGGATCAAAATCTCTGAAGGTTTCCATGACCTATTTGTAGGTGATGGAAGGCAAAAGGATATCCAACCCAGTACTAGAAAGGTGTACCTAATCAATTGGCTGATGAGAATATAAGAAAAAGAACCAAGGAAACACATACCACGTCCACTTTCAATGCAAATGCAGCTACAAAGCAATTATCAATCAGAATACACATGAAGCAAATTTAAAAACCATGGTAACTTTAGGAAGTAGTGAGAGCATTGCTGAACCCATGGCAACAAATTCAGTCTTTAATTCTGCGTTATAGAAATTGCCGTTCCAAAACTTGATGGATATTTAAAGCAAATTTCATTATACACAAGCCAGCACTAAAGATAACAACTGTGGCTTTCTTTATTTCTATTATAATTGCAGCCAAATCATAAGGCTTTTTACAGCTAGATGTGACTCTATTACATTTTGCATCATTAAAGAAAGTTTTCTGGAAAATAGCTCCAAGAAAATGAAAATAAAAGAAAGTTCTGCAGAATAAGGTGTAGGTGATTAGGGAGCTTTCTTTGTTTTGAATTCAACATTTTAAGGCACAGAAGAAGAAACAATGATGAGATTTTGTATGTTTAGTGCTGAGGTTTCATGCTACTTTTTTGTCACTTACTGAATGTTCTGACACACTGATTTGACACCTTTGTTTGGCCGATATTGAAAGTGAGCAAAGCGACATATGTGCCATAAATCACTGCCTTGTGTCTGTGTGCCCTGTAGTGGAAGGCGAGGACAGCCAGCTTTGACAGCCAGGGCTCCTGCCCTTCACCCAGGCCCCCAGCCAGTCCCTGAGCAGAGCCACCTGTGACCCAGCAGCCCAGAAGGGGGTTTCCGTCCTCCTGCTAAACCACTTCCTGTCTGTCTGATTGAGGAGAAATACAACCCCAGCGTGTGTCCCTCTCCCACTTTCTCCCTCTGTTTCTCCCTTCCTCGAGTCTAGTCCCAGAGCACTCCCAAGAACTGATCTCGGACTACCGTCCATCAGTTAGTTGTGTAAAACCAACTCTGTTTTCGGGTAAAAATTTAGGGTCCTCAATTTCAAACGTGGGTGTTTTGATGGCCCGAAGTCATTTGGCGGACATGCAGTCTGCAGATACTGAGCCGTCTGAGCTGAGACGAGCTGATTCTGGTGTCCTCACAGGAGACTTTTTAAACACTGAAGATTCAACATTGCACTGCAGAGACGTTTGATGAAAAAAAAAGAAAAAAGCTCAGTGGGATATCACTCCTTGAAAGCAGTGGAGGTTTCACAGAGGGAAGCTGAGGACATGGCCTCAGCAGAAAAGGAGAAGACCTTAAGAGATCTGAAGCTTTTTCAAAACTCTACAGCTGTATAAGAATAAATGATGCTGAGTGTAGCATTTTGGAAATATTAGATATAAAACCACTCCACCATTCGTTATTGTTTGTGATGCTCCAGCTGAGTTTGCTGTACTTCCAGTTTCATCACTAACAGAAGCAATTATCAGATCTCCATCTTACTGAAGAGAGGCTGAATCAGACTGAAACTAATATATTGTCAGCCTGACAAACTGCAGCTTTGGTGTGTTTTCAAAAGCAGACATTTCACATGACAAAGAAGAAAAGCTGCAAGATTATTGGGCTTCACAGCAGAGCAAATTGGCTGCATTGCAGATTTTTTTCGGGTCTTTGTCCATTTTCAGCGCAAGAGGTAGGAGGTTAAATTACCACACAAAGGCACAGCCAGATTTTAAAAGACAAAATATTATTTTGACACACAAACGTTTTCACAGAGGGAGCTGCAAAGGTTTCTGTAAACAGTGAAAATGCGAGCACACTTTACACACCCTTACCTCTTTCTCTGTTTGATGTTGCAATCTCACCCTCTTATCCAGGTGAAAACTCCCACCAACGCTCATGTTTTCTTTCAGAGAAAAACACCTTTCAGAAACACTTTTGTCACATATTGTGTTTTTTTATGTTATTTTTTTCATCTGATTTTGGTGGATGTGTATAGCTTTATGTACAGGCATCTGCTGGTTACCATATGTATGTTTTATCTAAACAGAAAAAAACAGAAGAGAAATATAATGATAAGGCTAGATTTAAAAAATGACTTTCATTTATGTAGCCTTGTTGGTGGTAAGGATTTAAAATATTAAATGAAAAAAACAACTTTCTTGATGTTTATGCTGTCTAATTATACTGCTGGATTCACTTACAGGGATAAATTAGGCTGGATCTGTAATATGTGGCATTTGGAGGATATTTGATGTGAGAAAATGTTTGATCTGTATCAGTATTATTAATTTGATTGGTCCCTGGTAATTATTGGCTCTCTTTACAGTAACTCAAGTTTTAGTTGGATAAAAGATGATGGATGCAGTCTGCGTATCTATGGAATATACACCTTTGATATGTTTGATACAACTGCCTTTTACTCCAGACATCATACCGAGTTACAGTTTTGAACGGATCGTTGCATTGCTTTATCGTACTGACTTTACAGACTAGCAGCTGCAATGCTGCACAAGTGACGATGATGCAATTTCAGTCAAGCTCCCTCATAACCCTTACATACAATGGATACTAAATTTGTGTAAGTTTAATTAAGCACTTACTTGAACAAGTTATGAACTCGGGTTTTTTTTATATCCAATTATGTTAAGCTCATAGACTGTATATAAAAGATGTCTGCAGCCAACGTGATATGACCCTTTGGTTAATAAAGTCCTGTTGTGAAGCTTTAAGCTGCCCATTTTTACCATTACCATGTTGGTGTTTTGGAGCCCTATGTGTTGAGAGAGGGGTGGATGATGCTGAGAAACCGAGGAACACTCCACTCTCATAGGGACTCATCGGTAGTGTTGGGTGTACCATGTTCCAAAGTAACACATTATATAATATTATTATATATTAGTATAGCATTTTTCAATATCACAGTAATTTAACATATTCGTGTACTACATTCAGTACTTACATTACAGTTACAATTTTGTCATTACTTACATTCCAAAGCGTCACTTTTTCTTTAGAATTAAAAAAACAAAAACAAATCAAACATGGCCTTTTAAATGTATATTTACACAACAATCAGATGATTTGGAATGATGATCTCAGAATGGTCTACACCATTTAAGGAGTGGAACTTTGGATATTCCTTTTATTTTTATTGCACGAAAGAACAAGAGCGCAATGGCAAAGTGCAAACTACATCTACAATAGAAACAGCCACATTGTACTGCTCACACAGCATTGGCTCTTTGCAGGCATCTGCACAGATAGCATGCTAATGCAAAAGCTAGCAAAGAAAGCACATTGTAGGTTCTGTGTTTGTAGGTGACACTAAAAGGCAGATCTGATATGTTTGTCCTCAGTGAGACAGGGATTTGTGTCAGTTTGTGCATTATAGCTTTGGGTTTATATAGTTAGCTGATTATTAAAGGAAAACACAAAATTAATTTAGCAAGTGTAACCAGTTAATTTCCCGAATGAGTAATTATGTAATGTACTACATTACTTATGAGGAAAGTAATGAGAAATGTGTGATGTATTACTTTGGAGTAATGACCCAAATACTGCTCATCAATCATAGCCTAGGCCAACATAAAGCACATTCTACTTTATTGTTTTAAATGCTAGTGGCAAATTTGACAAGAGGTTTACTGAGACTCATTGAGCAGAAGGGTTTTTCTTCCTGTAGACTTGCAACCTGATGAGTCAGCCTCTACTATTTATTGGAAGAAAACTTGCCTAAGGCACTTTCCATATTGGCTTCACTTTTCAAACAAGGAGGCTATGTTCATCTTTTATTTACAGTCTATTGTTTAATCCCCCAAACGTTAACTGATTTCTGTGACTTTTTTAGTTTTCTCACAAGTACTTAAACAATGTCAGGAGACCAAATCAGGAAATTACCTAAGCTGTCCTTTCTCATATGGATCACACAATATGACATAATCTGAAGTTCTGTCACTCCCAGAAATGATACCTTTTGGTTTTAACAAAGACTAGACAGATCATGCAGGAGACATTACAACCATTCAGAAGCCGTGAAACTTCTGGACTGTTAGCTGCATCACTCCCAAATTAGCACAATCAATTATCATACAGACTTTGTACTGAGGAGCTGACAGGTTAAAGATCATCTAATGCAACAAATATTTGAGCTTTTACAGATTCTCCATCATATAATAGTTAGAAAAAGTCAGCACCCAGAACTTTCAGTGCATTTGTAAAAACACCTAAGATTAATAGTATGCTGCAGCAGGCAGGTTTTTATTTATTTATTTATGTATTTTTTATTCAGGGCAGATAGCAAAATGAAGCACAAATTGCAGTATCACATAAAATGAATACAAGCCATTTCATAGTTCCTAGCTGGTTGCCGGCATGGCCTTGACTGCTCTCTTATGATCAAGTTTGACACTTATTAAGATGAAAAGCAGTTTTTTAACTGAAAATATTTCGTCATGGACCTTTACGCCGAGGCCACTGAGATTCCAAGGTCAAGGTCCCCGAAATTCAACTTTATACAAGATGTTTTGTACATGCACGTATGATATCAATTTGAAGCTCCTAGGTCATGTGATTCTTGAGTTATCGCATAAACAGACTTAGATGTCCACACCACCTGCCCACCAGGTGTGGTGACGACAAAACTCCATCAGCCTTTTACAGCAGAGAAGGATGGGTCGGGCGTGTCCTTCCTGGCCCACCATGTCCCAGAATTCATAGTGTGGCCCAGCCAATTCCAGTTTTCAACAATGGCGGTCGCTACTAAGTTTTAATATTACTCTTATTAATCTTTCTGGGTCACAAAATAAACTTTTAAGATATTTTCAGGCGAGAATGTGGGCGTGTAAACTCTGCTTGGTTTATCAAGATATCACACATCTGCAAAAGTGCGCCGACATTTTCGGAGGCGTCTGTTACCCACCAGCTCGATAGCTAGCTAGCTAGATAACAGCAAACTCCCTGCACATCATTTTCAAACCCCCCGCGGTCTTTCGCTACTCAGGTTAAACATTATATATGTGTCGCTTAGATAACTTTAAAATGTTATTGTTTGGCTTTTTTTACTGTTTTATTTGTTCGTGAGTAAATCAGTTTGGCTGAGATTAAAGTTATAGTTTTCACACAGCTGAATAAACGTCAAACGGAAAACTGATTAAACAGACGTGTGAATGATCGAGAATTTACGTCAGTGTCCTGTTATATTTTAGATAGAAAGGAGCAGATGGCCAAGTTTATTAAACTCCACCGAGACAGCTGGTGACGCAAAACTGAAGGCTGGACTGTTCAATTTCACAGCCACTCACTTCCGGTCTACCCGGCCTAAGGAGGACCCGGTCCACGTAGACCGTCAGGAGGATGCAGCCTATGAATTTGGACCCCCCCACAATGTACTTTTTTTTTTTTAATAGGCCAATCTCTCCTTCAAGGTTACTTTGTGGTGAACCTCCGGACTGCTCTCATTGAGGATGTATTTTTAGTCTACCACTTGTGCATCTGCTTTTTAACGTGGACCTCAATCACACAGAAACTCCTTTATCATACTAACCTGACTTTCATGTTATTTTACCTCTGGTTATGAGCGCTAGCTATCCAGCAAAAAATCCAGTGAAAAATAGTCACCTATTTTACTGTTTTTTTCTGGCAACTATATTCTTATTTTTTATTACTACAAGTTACCCTTGTTAATAAAGATATTCTGTGGTTTTCTGCCTACCTGCTGCATGCTCATACACAACTCTTTGTAAACAAAACAAAATTTAACTAAAGCTATGCTAATATTGTATAATTAGGGATTTTTTGTTTTCGCTTTGTAACCAGAATAAACATTTATTTCATAATTTTCTGGAGTTAAAATCAGGACATTTAGCCCAGACATGATAATATGCAGAGTAAATGTTAAGCAGCGAGGCTGACAGACAACATTTAAAGATTATATTTGGTAGGGCTTGTACAGATAAAAAAATTTTCTGACATGAGGACCATTTATTAAATAGTAATTTTGTGTTATAACATCAGCCTACAGCAAATTTAATCTAATATTTAACAATGTTCTTGGCAATGGCACTCAACCGTCTAGACATCTCTGGCAAAGGAATACTTAAACTGCAGGCTGCTGTACAATGAACATGCTGTTTATCACAGAGTCTGTGAAAATGTCATTGAAAAGTTGGGTCCAGATATCAAGACATGAGCAGATGGATTCAGCAGACCGAGTAGGGCCTGTTTTAGTAATTTCCTTCATGGGAAGTTTACCCAGAGAGAGCAGTTTAATACTGCTGTATTTCCGTAAGAGGCTGGGATGACAAAGCGGGGGCAGCTGATGGGTGGACAGGTCAGTATCTATAGAGCAGTGGCATTTCTCTAATTGGCACTTGTTACCATGAGAGTGAGTCAGTGCATTATTGTTTGTGCTTGGTGTAATCCATCATAGCATCAACACCCCTTTCACAGATGTTTGAAATTTGCTCTCATCCACGCAGTTTTCAATGGTGAAATTCCTCTGTAGACTAACACCAATATTCATCGATTTCTAATATCTTATTTAAATGTAAAATCTGAAACATGTGTTGAAATATTATAATGTAGTTTCTGTTCTTTTATAAAACGTACTTTATGATGGTCTAACAATGTGGTGTGTTTTCATAGTAGATAAAATCTGTTAAATCAATTGCCTCAGTTTATGGACTGTTTAAAGACCTTCCTTCTTTGCCTAATATTGTAATGTTTCTTGATATGATCTCATATCCCTTCCAACTGTTATGATAGCACTGAATTTCCAATTTTTTATCGGGCATTTTGTATATGTAATAATAGAAATGTTTGAGAAAATGTTAGTTCAGACAAATGTCTATTATGGGTTCCTTTTAGAATTTAGATCATTATGGAGATTCAAACGCTGAGTGAACCATTGTGTAAAAAACTGAAATGGCATAGAGTATTTCCACCGCCTTCTTTGTGTCTTAACAAGTCTGAAAATCCACATCAGAAAATTGCTTGTTGTTTTTTTCTCCCATGGGGCATGATGTGTTATCAGTTCTGTGACATGATTTTCTTTTCTTTGATTAAAAGACTTCTGCAAAATAGGCTCTGTCCTGAGAATTTTCTGGCAAACACACCATATAATGACAACACAGCCAGCGGCTTAACAAGCAGGACTGAGCACGGAGGAAATGGGATTCCGACTGAATCTAATGGTCGAATTAAATGAGGGGTGGACACACACACACAGCACACAGCAGTTAGGACTTGACAGGCTCTAATAAACTGAATGGCATTTTCATAGTTTTGTTTGTTTTGTGTCATTTTTTATTTAAGATACTAGCTAAGCTCTGTATATATTGTATTTCCTTTATGTGGATTTGGAAGACTGTTATCCATGTTGCATTGCAGGAATAATGAGCCTTCAGTTATTGATTCTACTGGATTCGTGTTCGTGAGAGTGTAAAAACTGAGTTATAAGGGGTCAATATGATCAGCTTTTCACCAAGTAGTGGGAAGGTGACCTCAAGAAAAGGCCTCCAATAATGCTCACTAGCATGTTTGGCTACTTCATTGATTTTTCTTTTGTTATAAAGGAAGTGTTCTGCTTATTAACACTCCACATTGCAACAGTTGAGCACGTATTATTCAAGAATCCACAATAGCATTTTTCTAAGAGCAGAAACAGAGCAGAGAAATAATAACCTCTTCACGCTACACTAACTGAATTTGTTATTGCGAGTTTGTTACGGGC